TCTCACCTGCACAATTTTTATATTCGAGCCACCTTTTTAGGTTTTCAACTCGAATCCTCCTTTGGTTTCAAGACGTCATTCAGAATTTACGTCTTGAACCCGTCTTTGTTATTTTTCTCTATCATGCATTAAATATTTTAGAAAACTTTTTTGCAAATAAAGATTAATCCTGATGGGCGCGATGAAATCTGAAGATAATCTCTTCTGTTTAGAAATCCACGTATGATTAGAAGGAACTTTTAAGGCACGTAACGTAGGCCATGGTTCATGGTTATGAAAGAAAATGATAAATAGGCCAAACAAGTGTTTCAGGGTATTGAAACAAGGATCAATTAATTTTGATGCATTCAATCATGTTTTGCTCAATTTGAATATGCTCGTATGTGTTTCTCTTGATTTTCTCTAGATGCTCCATGATCTTCGAGTGAAGTGATTCTGGGAATGATTGTGCTTGATCAATCTCATAATTTGAATCTCGACGTGTCATTTGAATCGAGAGAATCTTTGCATATGCGTTTGTCTTCTTTTTTTTCACTTTTCCTTTGTTTTTCTCTCTGTTTTTTGCTCTTTTTTTCTCTTTTTGTTCTGATTGGATCTTCGCACTTGGCACTTGATTCACCTTTTAGTATCTCTTTGGATTGAAGTCTTCACTCATGTGAGCAAATTTCTTCCACCTTGCCCCCCAGTGTGGAGGGTGATCCTTGGTTGGGGTTAAATCAGAAGAAAATACTATAGGCTCAAAAGGGGACAACAAGGGATATATATATATATGGATAAATGAAACAAAGTCGTTCATCATCTTATACAAAGAAGTCCTCGCAGAAGAGGTATCCCCAGGGGGATAGATTTTCAGAATTAATTTTATTCACATGAAAACAATGTAATTAATGCACGATATAATTATTTCGAATGAATTCTTCATTCTGCTTCTTCCTCCCAACATATCTCAATGTTCAGGCTCCCTGCGAGATACCCCAAGTTGTGTCTTAGAATAATGCTTATGTACAAATGAACAACTTAATGCCTTAGTCAATTTTGAGTCTAAAAAGACAATGGTGTGACTTTATTAACTCAAAGAAAGGTATGGATATAACTCATTGTGTATCTAAAAGATAAAAACAATGTTCAAAAATTTCAAAGGGAGGTAATGTCAAAATTTGGTCTTTTGGTAATGACAATGAGTTATTTTGGGTAAAGAATTAAGGTATTTTATTTTGGGGTTTTAGACAGGACAAGAGAGGTCTAATTTTGCCATATGTCAAAAATCTATAATTCTTGAAGAATTAAAAGAATCTTTAATTCGTTTAATATTCAAAGAACTAAAGATTAAAATTCATTCCATTATTCCACTTTAGAAGGTAGCATAAATTTAGTTTTTTAGCAGATTAAGCAAACATGAAAGATCAAAAACGTGTTCAAACAAAACAATGCTCTAAGTGCAAATGGTAGATGCAATGCCCCCTTCTTCGATTGTCTATGCCCCTGAGTCTATCAGGTTTTGGATTTTGCGTTTTAGTGCCTTACAATTATCAGAGGAATGTCTAGAGCTTCCTATTTGGTAATCACACACAGCTTCAACATCGTAGCCCTTAGGATATAGGGACTCTTTTCTCAAATCGTCATGGCAGGCTTAGTCCTACAAGCAGCTGATCAGGCTCCCGTTGTAGTGATTTCAGTTTTTTCTTTAATTGTTAAAATCTTGCTTCCATGTGGTATAATGTGGTTAAGACCACTTCATCGAATCCTCCATGAAGAAATTTCATGTTTATGAAAATGCTTAAAAATGAAATGTAGATGCAAAATGCAAAAATGCATGAAATGTTTGAGGCATTGATTTGAAAACATGCCTGTTATTATAAATAATCTTTATTGGGACAAAAGCGTTTTATCTTTTAAGATACAAAAATATCAAAGGTATATTCTGACTAAATCCTCTAGACCCCGAGCGACTTCTAACAGGTTGACTAATCCTCTGCCTTTGTCTGTCATTGGTTAAATACCCTTTCAACCGCTCTAGCTTCTCTGGCTGAACCGTGCAAGTGTTGAGCTGCTTTTTGTACTTGTTCCAAGAAGTCTCGAATGACTACATCTTGGATTTCATCTTTTATTGAACTTGTTCCCGACGAATACATCATTGGAGGCTTCCATTGATAGGAGTTATTTAAGTTCATGTGCTTGTTTCTTGAATTTGTCAATAATGGCCTCCAATTTCATCTATCATTTTGCTCTTGTTGTCTTTGAAGAGACTCTCCAGGTCAGTAACCTTTTTCTCATCTTGCCCCTCCAACATTTGCCAACCTATGTTTGGAAAATTGACTTTTGATGTACTTGATTGTGGGACCACGTCTTGAATGTGACACATAATTACCTTGCAGATTGTCCTCTTTTTCCTTCTGAGTCTTTTCTGACCATAGTCGGACCTCTGCGTTTTTTACCTCTTGTATTACAACCCCTTTGTCCATTAATGCAAATTATTTAGGTTTAACAAACACGTTTTAGTGGATCAACACCTCTTTCAAATGATGCAAATAATAAAAATAAAATTAAAGAGAACAAAAATGGAAATAGTTAGTGAGGTAAGGTAAAGATAATAATCAAAACAATAATGAAAATAAAAGAATCCTACCCCCACATGATATCTACCCCAAATGCTTATTATTCCTACTCGGACATGATCTCTATCATGCATACTAATTTCAAGCAAATCCTAACCGCGTATTTGTCTAGTTCACATGCTCTGAATAGAAAATAAAGCAGGAAATAATCTCAAACCAATATAGGGTTTGAAATGAGGTTTTAGGGTGGGCTCTAATTCCTTGTAGTATCCCGGTTTAGGTTATAAAGAAGGTACCCGAGTTCTCCTTGCTGGTGCCCCCTTGGGATTGCCAGACCCTTAGTCCTAAGCCCATTACAAGCTTATGTGGACTAAGTTAAACTCGAGAGGATACATTCCCTCATGTCTGTGCGATGAATAAATTCACACGAAGATATAATGTATATGAATTCCGAAGGTTACTTGCTAGGCCTGTGCGGAGAATAAATTCTCATGAAGGCGTCACTTTCACCCCCACATAAAAGGGTTCGGAGCTCGGGTATAGAGCCAGAGATGAAAACTTTGAAAATATGAAATCACTAAAAAAAGTCGGTACAACTATTTATTTGAAAAGATAATCAAAAGTAAACAATAAGAATCGAATATTAATATTATTTTTTCAACCCAGACAAAAACATGTGTCTACAACTCCATCAAAGGTTGAGAGTTGAGGTGTGGTAATCAATAGAGTCGGTGTAGAGGTGGAATTAACCATATTTGTTTTCTTCAAGAGATCTACAATATGCTTCCTTTGACTAGAATGAGGCCTTTGTTGACTCACTTAACTTCCATACCCAAGAAAAAACTAACATCTCCCAAATCCTTTAAAGAAAAAATAGTATTGATTTTTTTAGTAACATCATTGACTTGTTCTATATCTCAACTTGTTACCATTGTATTGTCTACATAAATCATGATGTAAACTTGTTTTCTCTTAACAATCGATAATAAAGGGATGTGTCTACTTGAAAGACCGTAAAATTCAAATCATTAACAAGACACGTCTTGAACTTGTTAAACCATACTTGTGGAGCTTGTTTGAGATTATAAAATGACTTGCATAACTTATATACCAAAGGTTTTACATCAACATCACACTTTTCAAATCCTAATGGTTGATCGACGTAGACTTTTTCGGATAGGCTTTCGTTGAGAAATGTGTTATCCACATCTATCTATCTGTGTCGGTCTTTTGGTTTTCTCAATTTTGTTACTAAGCCCTAACCATGTGTTCAAATTTGGGGTACAATTATTGTACTTCGAGTCGATCATACGCAAGATGCCACAAGGAATTGTGTATCAATATCAATCGTAAATATGTTGATCGGACTAGGAGTTGAGATTTCAGATATTGAATTGTTATAGAAGATGGAAAATGGAACATTGATGTTGATAGAACTATGAAAGTCAACTCTTTCAGTCAAATAAATTAGTTTTATATATGGAGCTGTAATGTCTGATTGTTTAGTGACATACGCTTGATTGGAGAATTTGCAGAAAACCAGTGGGACATAATTTGTAATCATTTTAAGCGAAATAAAGTTCATTTGATCTGGAACAGAAATCTTGCAAGTTTCTCTGAAGCAAGTGACCAATGATTAAAATAACATAGAATTCCTAAGGCTAATTTGATCTGGTAATCCTTTAGCTGAGACTGGACATTCGTTGGATTCCTGCTGAAACTGTTGTTTGAACATAGTAACTTTTAATGACAGGGATAACGAGGCTTAACAGCACAATGACCATTTTGTTATCTTTCGATAATGTTAGTGATTCTTTTATTATTTTGAAACTTCATAGGAAAAAGATAAATTTAATCATACTACAATGACCCATTTGTATAACTTACCCTATATCTTTCGATAATGTTAGTGATTCTTTTATTATTTTTGAAACTTCATAGGAAAAAGATAAATTTAATCATACTACAATGACCCATTTGTATAACTTACCCTATAAAACTAGATATAAAAAAAAGGGTAAACTACACATTTAGTACTCTAACTATCACTTTTGTTCCATTTTTGTCGCTCAACGTTTTTTTTAAATCATGCTTAACGTTTAGTTTTGGTTTTCATTTTGGTTATCTACCATTAAAAAATAAACAAAACTATTGACATGACATTTTTTTTATGATGATGTAGCATTACCTTATGGTGACACATCAGCATCACTATTATGTTTATAACGGTGAGTGACTAAAATGAAATCAAAACTGAAAATTATGTATGATTTTGAAAACAAACGATAGTTAGGTGACCATAAAGGAACTAAAGTGATAGTTTGGTTACGAAACGTGTAGTTTACGCTTAAAAATGAAACGCCATCGTTTCAGTTCCAAACGATCTAACTTTTGTCACCCTCTTTTTTGCAAGCCTCTCCTCCCTTGTACCCAAAACCCTAGGGGGGGGGGGGAATGCAAAACCCCAGTGCTATTGATAGTTGTTAGGAGCCGGAACCGGAACCGAAACCGAAACGAAACTCCTAAGTTAAAAGAAAAGAAAAAAAAAGCAAGTTTGCCAATAACAATGAATGTAGTAATAGCATCATCTTCAATCGATGGCGGCATAGGTTGCTGGGACCTACAAACAGGGGCGGAGCAACTCCGTTACAAGACTTGTGCCTCACCTCCCCACGGTCTTGCCTCCATAGGTTGCTGTTTCCTCGCCTGCTCTCAACTTCGCGACCCCTCCGCCACCTCCGGCCACGTCCTTTATTGGTCTTGGTCCAAGGTTTGCTCTTTATAACCACCCAAACTCTTCCATTCTTTTCCCAAACATTCTCATCTTCATGTTATCATTTCTTTTACAGCCTCAAGCGCAAGTTAAAAGCTTTCCCGCGGAACCTATTAAACCGCTTGCTGCTAATAGCGAAGGTAGTTATATTGTTGGTGGAGGTTCATCTGGCGACATTTACTTCTGGGAGGTAAAGTTCAATTCCTTTGTTTACTTTTTAGCCTTTTATTTTTAATTGAAGCTAATCTTTTTGGGTGGTTTTTGTTTCACTATTTAGGTTGCTTCGGGTAGGTTATTAAAGAAATGGCACGCTCATTATAGGGCAGTTACATGCTTAGTTTTCTCCGAGGATGATTCAGTCCTCATTTCTGGGTCAGAGGATGGATGTGTTAGAGTTTGGTCGCTTTTCATGTACATTTTCCTTGTTCTGATCCTTATTCCTATGATCAATTATGTTTGCATATCTTATTTGATTATTGTGGTTACTAATTGTAAATAGTTTGTGCTTTTGATGTTTATTGTAAATTAGGATATTTGATAATGTTAGACAGCAGCAGGCAAGTCATCTTTATGAGTATAGTTTTACTGAACATACTCTGCGAATAACGGATATCGTTATGGGTTATGGTGGATGGAATGCAATTATTGTGTCGGCTTCTGAGGACCGCACGTGTAAGGTTTGTTCTGCTTTTGGTTGAAAGCCCAAATGAATGCTTTGTGTTCACAGATTGGTAATTAGATTGTTATTCTGGACTATGCATTAGACTGAAAAGATGGAAGCATTAGGTGGAAAGTCTTTGCATCACCCAATGTATCTATTCTATTATACTCTTTTTATCAGTAAATGTGTTTTTGGACTGGTAACAACTACGGAGTGCTCCCTTTATCAAGGGATACTTTCTGATTGTGAGATTATTGGTCTGAGTTATATGTTAAAGCATTTGCTTAGCATGAATTGAATATTAATCCATGTTGTAACTAACGTGAGTTGCCTGAGCATCTAATGCATTAGAATCAAACTAAAGCATTTGCTAAGCATTATAGTTCACAATTTCTTTGTCGTTATGACTAAACAATCATGCTTGTAATAGAACCTTATTTTATGGAATACCTATTGACTCATTTTTAAGTACGTAGTGTATTTGTGCTGCAGCTTTTGGGCTGGTATATGGCATTAGCCGTATGTTCACTAGATCCTTATTAAAGAGTTCCTTATTTAATGTGCATTGCTAATAGGTATGGAGCTTATCCAGGGGAAGATTATTAAGAAATGTTGTGTTTCCTTCCATCATTGATGCAATTGCTATAGACCCTGGTGAACATGTTTTCTATGCTGGCAGTCGAGATGGTAAAATTTATATTGCTGCACTTAATGCTGAAAGTCCCCCAAGCAACAATTATGGATTGCACATCATCGGTTCACTAACTGATCAAAGGTGTTATTTTGTTATGTTCAGACAATCTTTACAGTATTCTCAAGTGATTCTGGCAGGATAGCCTATGTTGGTTTCCTTCGAATCACTTTATACTTTCTTTTAGTTCTTAAAGAGGTGCTGTGGTCTCTGCTCTTATCTGTTGAAACCACTCACTGTTTGATTGCACAGCATCAAATCCAAAAACTAATCCCTTAGGTTGAAGGTGGATTTTATAGATACTTATGATAGTTATGCATCAAAAACAAATGTAATAAAGGAAAAGTTGTGGTGAATGATAGTTAATATTGCATGTCCCTTTCTAAATTTTAAAAGGTTTCTTGTTACCTCTTAAGTCTTACCCTTTTTATAACAGTTTTATTATCTTATTTTTGGACAGTAAGCCTGTTACTTGCTTGGCATATAGTGCAGAAGGAAATTTGCTATTATCCGGATCAGAGGATGGCATGGTTCGAGTTTGGGATGTGAAAACCAAAAACATTATTCGCATGTTCCGACATTCCAAAGGTATCATTTAAACAACTAGAAATGTTTACTTTCTTCTACTGATGGCACTGATCAGATTGTGCACTTTTAATTTTGGGTTCAATTTCTACGCACACTTGGTCCATCTTTTCATCTTGTTTAAAACATATGTCATATAAAAATACAGATTCTGTTTCTTCACGTCTACTTCTAATCCAGGCTGCATGCATGAATAGATTAATACCATCTTAGAGGGGAAAAAGTAAGAAATATGAACTGCCTTCTATTGAGCAATTTGAGCTTTTGTTTTGTTTGTATTTTTGTATATTGTGCTTCATTCTTGTATTTGGCGTGGCTTTCCTTTTCATTTTCCTACAATAGCTTCACATGATCTTTATTATGTACATCCAAAGCATGTAACTGATGTTCATCAATATTCAGGCCCTGTGAACAATATTCTCATTGTTAGACTACCATACCCTTTCACTCGGACCGAATCAAAAGTGCAAGCTTCCTCAAGAAGGCACGAATCACTCCGGCCTCCTCTAGAAAAATATGCAAATTCAAGCGATGAAGACATGGATAACAAGGCTATCATTGCACTCCCGGATACGATAGACCTCCCTTCATACCTCAGTTCTCAGCTAATCAATGATCACGTTAAACAGCTTCAGGTTTTCTTTACTGCTTATTGCACGATCATGGACAATGTAATTATTGTGGTTTCGGTTTCTCATACTCGTTACTGCTTTGATATCAAGCACCATGGTGGCCATCTGTATAATTTTCTTACCATTACTGGCTTGTGATCATTTGACATTCATATATTTAATATTCCCTAAACTCTGAGAGCCTTGTCTAATAGACTCCTGTCACCCCATTGTTTGCAGCAACAAGGATCTTCAGCCGCGGCTGAAATGGAAGTGAAGAGACTGAAGCTTGACGGCCAACGATCTATGGAGATGTTTCAGCAATTGAAAAAAGTTTATGACAACTTGCAGGAATTCTGCGTCAATGAGCTCTTAGATGGACAAGCAATGGAAGGATCCAAAGGGAACTAAGTCATTCACAGTTTGAATGAACAGACCACCAAGCTTTCATTTCAAATATTCCTTGTTGAATTTAGTTTTCATCTAGCTAGTTTCGTAATATCTTGATAAATTACACAAGAATCTCATAACAAAATTTTGTACCTTAAATGTGTAGCATTCTGGAAAAACTATTTAGGTTCAAGACAGATGATCAAATGTTCATATATTGAGTAATGTTCCTCGTATGCATTCGGGAGTTTCTGTGGCAACAAAACTACAGAAGTGAGTTTGAGTCTAAATTAGTTGGATTTATCATCTAATTTGACACATTGGGGTATATATTTAAAAAGATGGTGCATCATGGGCTTTCAAGTATGTGATTGACGTACATAATTGTGCTTAATTAATAGTGCTAATCAAATACAGAAACCAGCCATAAGATAATCATTAATTATTTGCATACAAGATCATGAAGTTGGATTATGAGCGTAAAGATAAATGACTTGAGACTCAAGATAACTTTATTTGCCTAATAATTATTAATTCAGTGAATATGTTTGACAATTTCAAAGGGTTTGCAGATCTCTGATGAAATTTCAAGGGGGTAGGGCCGAGGAAATAAAAGCAACATTTTGATGGGTCGGGCAATGGTGGCGTGCGGCATGACAAACCCTAAAGGTGCGTTTGGTTCACGGAATGTAAGATTACCTCTGGGAATAGGATTACCGGAATGTAACATTACCTAACACATTACTGGGAATGTTACATTACTGTGTTTGGTTTGTTTGGCAGTAATGTAAGATTACAGTGTTTGGTTGAAAGAATAAAAGATTATTGGAATGTATATTTTACCAAATTATCTTATTCTATATTTTAAAACAAGTGAATTCTAAATATTTAAATAAAAATTATTTATATAAAAATTCATCGATAATATATTTAAATAAAAATTATTTCTATAAAAATTCATCGATAATATATTTAAATAAAAATTATTTCTATAAAAATTCATCGATAATATATTACTTTATTATTTAAATATATCATGTATTATTTTAATTTTAATTAATATTAAATTTTACATAATTTATCTAAAAATATATTAACATTTTACATCAACATTTAACTAAATGCTCAATATTAGGGATTTTTAACTTTCACTATGATATTAATCGACAGTGACGATGATTCCATTGGCTTTCTAGGAATTCGACTTCACATACGGTCCAGCTTGGCATTGCATTGTGGGAACTAGCAGCGGTTCATACATGATGCATTCACTGGAGGTTTCTTGTATTTTTCAATCAACAAGGTTTACATACTTCTCTCCAAGACTGCTGTGAGTACATATGTGATGCATTCAATCAACAAGCGCGTTTGGGAATGTAAGATTTCAACAGATTTGTGTATTCTACACAGTTCTTGTGCTGGTAACAAATTTACAAAATTTCCATTTTGAAGTTAAATGTACAACTACATAGTGCAGAAGTGATAAACATGTCTATTTTTTTCGGTTCATAAGTGTACTTGTTTGGTTCCCAAAAGAAATCGCATTGCTTAAGCAAACTGATGTTTTTATTAAGGTTAGCTACATCTCCAGAGGCAGAGTTATGGAGATGGATTGCTTACAAAGATTTTGAGCGAGAAGCCTTCAAGTTCTTGTCTTTTCCAACTTTAAGTCTTCTTTCAACAGGATCATAATTCCTATCGGATCACATACAATAAATCAAATAATCCAATCATAATAACATACTAATCATGTCAGGGAGGAAAGATTCAAAAACTGATAGGAAAAATACTTATTCATGATTCCATAATTTACATAATCACAATACCGTTTCAGCCATTGTAAGAACTCCAAATTGTCCAAAGGTCTACCTTTAACAAGTTTATTGACTTCAATATGCTGCAAATGGCAGAATTACGGGTATCATATTTGAACTAATTCAGGAAAACCATTAGGAAATCTAACTCGTAGAGAACTATTCATGTGGAGGCATATGCTCAATTGCCAACAGTAATGAACAACACATGTTGACCTCAAATCTTAATTCATGAGAGGTGTAGTGTAAGCTTCAACTCCTATAAAAGCATCTAAATAGTACCATCCATTTTTATGCCAAAAGCAAAATTTTAGATATCCCTCGATGCCATTATGACACTTTTTATATTTTCCCACAATCTCGTTTCGGCCTACTACCGAAAGAAGTGCAATTCACATGAGAGCTAACCCACTCTCTGCTTCCTTTTTTTAGGTTTTCAGTAACCCATATGCAAACCGATGTGATGAAGGATACTGAAGGTGCATTTCTTTAATTCTTTTAAAACGTGTAGTAAAAAAACAGACAAACTACATATGTTAGCCATTGAAAGAGATTTAATTACCTTGTCAATTTTCAACTTGTTGAATATTTTGGATCATATCATATTCTGTTTTTACATCAAAATTCACCTGCATTCCAATTAAAATCACGGAAAATTATTTTCACGAGGAAAATTAATTAAGAAAACAATGCAGGCACGATGAATAAAGCGAGCTAATTCACCTTGTGCATTGGCACAACTCCTGGATAGGTCATATCTATCAACTGACATTGTATAGCACCAGAGGCAGCCTGGAAGCAAATAGTTATTTAAACTGAAGATAAGTAATGAATGTCAAGATATAAGAGAATACATTTAATAGAGTGGTAATATCATATTACATCCGCACGACCTTCAAGATCAAGCTCGAGTCAAATACCTAAGTCAAGCTACAAAACAAACATGAGTTTCTTGTCTTTGTTTTGCAGTTTGACTTAGCTGTTTGAGTCAAGTTTTATCGAGTAAGGCTGCACAAATCGCGACAATTACTAAGGAAACCTCAAACCAACCATAGACTGAAATGTCAAAATACACATATCATCACCCACTTTTGATCCTAATGTAAATTCCATGTGCTCTCATGTTATCCTAATTAAGATGCCATCAGGCATCAAGCAGGGCAGTATAATAACTTGGAAATAGACATAATAACATAGTCATTGGTCTCAGCATTATCCTAATCTACAAAAGCAAGAAAAGGAAGAATGTTCCCAAAATTATTTCTCGGCTTCTGGCTGTATCAGAGGAATTACTGAAGTATAAATAAAAATATTTCAAAATAAGGTTCGAAAAAGGTAAAATTATTAACATATTACAAGTACCATTTCTCTACCATGGAAAAAGAACAAGGGAAACCCAACACTTTTCAAGTAAATCAAAGATTAACAAAAGAAATAAATTCAAACATCAGTAAACCTTAAACAAAATTCCAATATGAAAATTTATTAGGATGGGCCAAAACAATCCCATTTTAATGAAGAAAATATAAACCCATTTCAAACTTCAAAGCATTCTCTCCATTCTCCGTTAAAATTAACCAGAAAAAGGAGGCAAAAGTGTTCATTTCTAGTAAGAACAAAATGAAACAATCCTACATTGGCATATACAATGCATGAGAAGGCCATCAAATTCAGGAAAAAAAAACAACAATAATTAATAAAGAAACAAGAATTACCCATAGAAAAGAATAATTTAGCATATATTAATAAAAAAGTTTACTTCTTCAATGTGAGAGAGATTGAGCTGAAGCCCGCTATTGATCCACATTAAAATCTCATTTCTTCCAACAAAGTAAGCACTATCCATCATACCTATATTCGTCGCCATTTCTCTCTGCTTCCTTTACTGCTATTGTTTTTATATTTTGTTTGAGCTTATCAAATTATAAACAAAAACCAGAGAAGCTATGGGTATTAAGAAGGAAAGATTAAGGCGAAATCCAAGGGGAGGGCTTTTGAAAATGATGTTCAAATTTGGATTTTTATTGAATTATTTAGAAAAAGAAAACAGAAAGAAATGGATGGCTGAATTGAATTTTCAACGTCAAAACAGAAAGAAAGAAGAAACAAGCGGCAATGACAGCCACCGACCCTCTTTTATTGCAGCAAATGGCAATTGCTATTTTCTCAATAATCTAAATAAAGCAGTTTTCAAATAGGGAGAGAGAAACGAACCTAGCAAGAGATTAGCAGATGCAACAACACAGAAGAAGAAATCCATTGGAGCAAGAGACAGCTCCTCGCAATAACTCTCGCCAAATTGAAGAAGAATATTTTGTTTCAGCCAGAAGCAAGCTAACGGGAGAAGGGTATTTTAGCCAACAGAGGACGGGAATAAACAAATACCTAAGAAGGATGGGGGATTGACATTCCCAGTAAAACAGAGAAAAAAAATCATTGTTGGTATTCAAGGTTTACCCTCACTTGGGAATATGGCCATCCAAACGTGGGTATCTTAACCCAGGAAAAAAAGATTACTCCCAGGAATGTTTTAATCCGTGAACCAAACATGGCCTAATAGTGTTTCATTGTTTAATTCCTTAATAATGAAAAAGAAAATAGTCCCTCACATTGTTGAGGCTTCCAGACTGTTTCTGTCCACTTGGGTTTTTCTTTATCTAAAAAAATGCTACATCTTTAGTATCCAAGAAAATAGTATATAACTTTTTAAAAGAAATATACATATATCGTATAAATCTAACAAATAGAACCATGCACGATATAAACAATCAAGTCTTCCAAATCCACTGGTTGAAATATGAGCGGATGAATCACATGTTATAATATAATATTTGTTTAAAAAGTTTATTATTCTATTTATAAAATATATGTATCCTATGGATATAACAATTCAAATTCAAATTCCTTCTAACTACTAAAATCATTCAATGAGTTCATTTCTATAATTATAGTTTAACTATTGTATTTTGTCTTCTTTTACATTTTATAATAACTATGATTTCTTTTAGTTTAATTTTTATATAACTTTTAAACTCTCGTACTGCATCGTTCTTGATTAACAAACTTTTTAATACGAAAGAATGAAATCCTAGACTAAACAATAATTTTTATTTATTTAAGTTTATAGTTTCAACTTTGTTTTTTTAGAATAACTAATAATCTAATTTAGTATATAATCAAAATTTACTGTTTTTTTCCAACTTGTAATTTTTAAAGCTTAAATTCACGTGTAAATTTATTAGGCATCTATTCAATTTATATACCGCTCCTTTTACGATCAGTTTAACCTACCGATATAATTGCTGGTAGAAGATGTGTCGAAAACCATGCAACGAAAGGGAGAGGTAGAAGCAGGGACCTTTTTTTTTTTTTTATCTTTTATTTAGTAAAAAATATTATATTTTTAAG